TCCTGACTTTTGCCTTCATCTTCTCCAAAACAGAATGATATGTCCAAGACTAAAGTTAGATGTTATCATTCTTCTTTTTAAAACACTCTAGTGGCTTCCTACATCACGAAGACTAAGCCAGAGTCCTCACAATGGCCTTCTAAATATTCTGCCTGCCTTACTTTTTTAACCTAAAATTAAATTAAAATTGAAAATAAAAATGGAGGCAGCATAGCTCGGGGTCGGATAGAGTGTTCGAAACCTGGCTCTAATTATTAGAAGTGTGCTGCTGAGCCTGTTAACGTCTCAGTGCCCACTTCTCATCTGTAAAATGAGAAAATTGTAACACCGTTCTCATAGAATTGTTATGAGGATTAAGGAATTAATGTTTATAATATTCTTACAATAATATTGGCAAATAGTGAACAGTGTTAAAATGATAAATTAGGCGTTTTGTGCAATTACCAGCAGATTTAATCATAAATTCTGTGTGTAAAAACTGTGATTCCAGTGGTCCTATCTATAAGAATTTATACTCCAACATCTCTCAAAAAGAAAGATGAGGGACGAGCAGATGGCATAATGGTTATGCTGCTGGATTCCCATGCAGTCCACTGCGGTTCAAGTCCCAGACCTGACAGCTTAAAATTCACAGTAGGAGACCAACAGTTGGCATAGTGGCTATGTTGCTGGACTCCCATGTAGTAGACCACAGTTCGAGTCCCAGACCCAGTGACTGAAACTCACACTGGGCATGTGTACATGCATGCCCAAGAGGAGAATGGAGGAGAAGGGATTGCAGCGTGGCCATCCCCCCCTAGGGGTGATTTCTCACTTTCTGTCTCTCTGACTTTCTGGCAAGCTCATGTGCCTTATAGCAAAAACCTCTCAAAAAACACAAAAACAGGGACCAGCAGTTAGTGTAAGGGCTATGTCGCTGGACTCCCACGTAGTCGACCGCGGTTCGAGTCCCAGACCCGGTGGCTTAAAACTCACGCCGGGCACATGTGCGTGTGTGCCCAAGATCCCAAGAGGAGAATGGAGGAGAAGGGATTGCAGCGTGGCCATCCCCCCCTAGGGGTGATTTCTCACTTTCTGTCTCTCTGACTTTCTGGCAAGCTCATGTGCCTTATAGCAAAAACCTCTCAAAAAACACAAAAACAGGGACCAGCAGTTAGTGTAAGGGCTATGTCGCTGGACTCCCACGTAGTCGACCGCGGTTCGAGTCCCAGACCCGGTGGCTTAAAACTCACGCCGGGCACATGTGCGTGTGTGCCCAAGATCCCAAGAGGAGAATGGAGGAGAAGGGATTGCGGCATGGCCATCCGCTCTGGGGGGTGATTTCTCGCTTTCTCTCTGTCTCTCTCTGTTTGTCTGGTGAGCGCACGTGCCCTATAGCAAAAACCTCTCAAAAAAACAAAAAAACAAACAAACAAACAAAAAAAAAAACACAAAAACAGAAACAAAAACAAACTCAGAATGGGAGTATGTGCATGCGTGCCCAAAATCCTGAGAGGAGAATGGAAGAGAAGGAATTGCAGTGTGGACAAATCCTCTAGGGGGTGATTTCTTGCTTTCTGTCTCTTTCTTTCTCTCCAGCAAAAGCATGAGCCTTGTAGCAAAAATCTCTGAAAAATACAAAAACAAGAAGAATGAGAAATATGTTGATTTAACAAATTAAAAATTAATCTTCATTGCTATATACCTTTTATTCTGAGTTCCGAGTTAGAATAGATTATTGCTACAATGAATGCTTTGAAGTATTTTGTACTTTTAAGCATCCTGATGTTGAGCTGCTTAAATATTCACCTACTTCCTTACTAGTAATACTTTCATTCTTAAATAGGTGTGATTTTTCCCCCATCTATCATGTAGATTGTTTATAAAAGATTTTACTTCTTTGCCCTACTTCTGGATTTTGGTTACTGCATTAAAATGAAATGATTTGATCTAAAAGAATACAATAAAAGCCAAGGCACATTCCTACATATACCTGTGGTGGGCACTGTAGGGAGAATAAGGCATGTGGAGTCTCAAATACAACGTCAAAATTAATTGACTATATTGTGGAAAAAATAGCACAGACTTAATTTTGAATACGGCTTTAATCATTATTTAAATCTGTCTGTAGAAGGAATAAGATAAATGGCTACCAGTCAGGAGTCTATCACAGATGACTATTATTTTTAGTTTTTTTCCATTGGTCACATGTGCGGCTAGGGAGAAACAGAGAGAGGGAAAATGAGAAATCATGTCCTGGAGGAATGGCCACACCACAATCCTTTCTCCTCCATTCTCTTCTTCTTCATTCTCCTTTCGGGATTTTGGGCACACGTGCACATATGTTAGGCATGATTTTAAAGCCACTGGGTCTGGAGCTCCACAGTCAACCATATGGGAGTCCAGCACCTTTAACCATGGCCCTCACAGCTGACTTCTTGCATCCATTTTCTTTTTCTTTTTCTTTTTTTTAAATTTTTTTTAATTTTTTTATTTTTAAGTTTTCGCTATACAGTGTGTGAGAGAAAGACAGAGAGGGAAAGTGAGAAATGCCACCCTGGGGGAATGGCCATGCTATAGTCTTCTCCTCCATTCTCTACTGGGGATTTTGGGTACACACGCACATTTGCCTGGCACGATATTTAAGCCCATGCATCAAGGTCTTGAACAGCACAATCAGCCACGTGGGATCCAGTGCCTCAACCTCACACTGGCTGCTGACCCCTATTTTCCCTTTTATACTTGAGTATAACTGAAGAATGAAGAACACCCCCCAGGCAGCCCCACCCCTAACCCATGTGGCACATGCCATACCCATCAGGACCTGCCCTATGCTGAGCAGAGGAGAGAAAACCTACACTCGAAAGTAAATTTCAGGATCGGCAGGTGGCATGACAGTTAAAGGCACTGGACTCCCACTTGACTGACTGCAGTTCAAGTCCAAGACCTAAGGGCCTGCTTTTTCACTCTGCCCCTGCCCCCCCCACCCCCAACACTGTGTGTCTTTCTGGTGAGTGCATGTGCCCTATAGAAAATTAAATAATTGGGGACCAGCAGTTAGCATAATGGCTATGTTGCTGGACTCCCATGTAGTTGACCGTGGTTTGCTTCCCGGATCCGGTGGCTTAAAACTCATGCCGAGCATGTATGCATGCATGCCCAAGGTCCCAAGAGGAGAATGAAGGAGAAGGGATTGTGGCATGGCCATCCCCCCTGGGGGGTGATTTTTCACTTTCTGTCTCTCTGTCTCTGTCTGTCTGGCGAGTGCATGAGCCCTATAGCAAGAAAAAAAAAGCCTCTCAAAAAAAAAGGAAAATTCAATAATAATAATAAATAAAATTAATAAATAATTCTTTTAAAAAAAGGGAAATTTCTACAGATTACTTGAAATCGAAAGACCTGTTTGGAAAGAGACCAAGAGTACACTTGAAAACAAAAGGAGTCAGTGTTTGTAAAAACAAAAGGACACATACTCACAGATATGTACATACCAGCTGAACTTGCTATTGAAAGTAGTTAGATTATAGGGACCAGCAGGTGGCATAATGGCTATGTTAATGGACTCCCATGTAGTCGACCATGGTTTGAGTCCTGACCTGGTGGCTCAAACTCACACCGGGTGTGTGTGTGTGTGCGTGCCCAAGATCCCAAGAGGAGAATGAAGGAGAAAGGATTGTGGTGTGGCCATCCCCCCTGGGGTTTGATTTCTTGCTTTCTGTCTCTGTCTTTCTGGCGAGTGCATGCCCACTTTAGCAAAAACCTCTCCAAAAAAAGAATAAAAAGAAAGAAGCTAGATTATTTAAGAAATTTTGTGAATCAATAAAATGTGGGGAAAAAACGGAATGAAAAACAACTGAAGACATCTGAGTACCTGAGCTAGTGTGGGAGGAGGGTGGGAAATGGTAGAGGGTGAGAAATAGGGGTAAAAAAAAATATATATATATACACATACATATATATATATGTGGATATATATACAGTAATACAGTGCACTTGTAACAAAAAAAAAGGAGTTACGACTCAGGAAGATTCGTGAAAGGGTCATATTTGGAGGAGGGATACGGAGACAGAGCATTGACGGGATGGGGAGGTGTGGTGTCAGCAGGTGTCATGGTAGTGGACTGGGGAGAAATGTTCACATATTGAGAATGTTCACTTTGTAAGCTAAATAGTGTGATTGAATGTATATTAAAAAATTAAAATTAATAAATAAAAAGATTAAAAAAGGGTCATAATGTTTGTTCAAAGGAATATGAATTAGAGCTGTTCTGGTTTTTGCTTTTTGTTTTTGTTTTGTTTTGTTTTGTTTTTTGATACTTGAGTTTAACTTTTACCATATGTGACATGAAGTTCTAGAAGTCAGGAAAACCCTTTCAGTTCTATGTTGAATTTTCATGTAAATGGCTCCTATTGCTTAGATTCTTAACGATCTCCGCATGTTAGAGTGGCTATTGATCAGGTGCCAGGTAGAGATGAATTTCATATACTGCCAACAACATGTCTCAGACTCCACAATTATGCAACTATTTTTTTGAGAGAGATTTTATTTGTTGCTATAGGGCACATGTACTCGCCAGAAAGACAGAGACAGAAAACGAGAAATCACCCCCCAGGGGGAATGGCCATGCCACAATCCCTTCTCCATTCTCCTCTTGGGATCTTGGGCCCGCACGTACACACGCTCAGCGTGAGTTTAAGCCACCGGGTCCAGGACTCAAACCGCGATCAACTACATGGGAGTCCAGTGATGTAGCCATTATGTCATCTGCTGATCCTGCAATTATGCAACTATTGAGAGTTTCTCTGAGGAAGTGAGGGGGGAAATAATACCGTTGTGCCTGCACATTAGCAACAAGATACATCGGTTAATGAAAATCGTTCCTTAGGTAACACACAACCAGTATGCAATTATTTCACAGTATTTGTACCTACAAAGGATTCTCAAGTGAGTGGTTCCTTCCAAAATGCCATTGCCATTCTTGTTAAATAACACTTTTCCTCACTTTTTTATGTTTTAAAAGAAAGTTGGCTCTGAAACATCATCCAGACAAGAATCTGGACAATCCAGCTGCTGCTGAAAAGTTTAAGGAAATTAACAACGCACACAAAATACTTACCGACGTGTCAAAGAGAAACATATATGACAAGTACGGATCACTGGGACTTTATGTGGCTGAGCAGTTTGGAGATGAAAATGTTAATACCTACTTCATGCTGTCAAGCTGGTGGGCAAAGGTGAATCAGATTTTCCTTTTTCCAAAAACAGTTTCCTGGAATGGGGCTTGCAGGTGGCGTGGTTGTTAAGGATGCTGGACTCCCACATGGCTGACTGCGGCTCGAGTCCTGGACCTGGCAGCTTGCTTTCTCACTTTCCCTCTCTCTGTGTCTCTCTGTCCCTCTCTGGTCAAATCAAAATAAATAAATAAATATATAAAGTTAAATGAAAAAATAATTCTTTAAAAAATAATTAAACAATTTCCTGGAAGATCGAATTATTCATTCTTTTGAGATTTCACTTTTAAAAAAGCCTAACCTACTATTCAACTCTGGCGAATAAAAGAGGAAATAGCTCTTCCTCTGAAAGCTGTTAGTTGGAAATTGTTTTTGCTTTAACTCATCAATTAATTATAAAATACAGCATGACTTAAAATAATTCTAGACATTAATTATATTTGAATTCAGAGCTTCAGGTTAATTCTCACTGCCCTCTCTCCCCCGAAATGACTAATTAAGAACTGACTCATTGCTCAAAACCCAAAATAACTTAATAATGTGACAACTGTTTAATAAATTATTATAGGACAAATTTAACGGTGTGCTTTACTATCTTTAGCATAGGATAAGCAGCAAACACAGTCCTTAGGAGAGTGAGTGCTAATTATGTCATGGGTTCACAGGGAGCCTGCTGTGAAGTAGTGGAGAAGGAAATGAGGGGCAGAAGGTAAGAATCAAGGGGTGAAGGACAGAGAGTTGGAGAGACAGATGGGGAGAGAGAAATGGGTTTCAAGTCAAGAAAAAAGGCAATATTTTTCAAGGATTGAGTGTAATCAGAACTGACTTTTGTACAGGACAGTTTGGTTTCTTAGGAATCCCTAACATATGTATATTTGGTGGTGATTTAATAGTTGTTCATGAATTTTACTATCCTTATCGTCTAATAAAAATATGTCTATACATGGGTCATACATACCCAACAGCATCTTTTGTGGACAGTTCACTCCACATGCATATGAGTTACAAAATACATTTGTGCTAAAAACAAAACTCTTAACCTCCAGAAGGACAAGTTTTAGGCTCCATAGCATTGATTGCTATTTTCTTCCACTAAATCTTGCTAAATGGAAGTTTTACATATGCAAGAAGAGAAAAAATATGTCTTTGCATACGTGCGTGCAGAGAAAGTCTGCAATCTATAGCTTCATTTGCTTCTGCAGTCCCCAGAGTTTGTTTTCTTGGAGATACCCGGGATTCCCGTTGAAACCCCTTTCTCTGTTGTCGAACACTGTGGCAGAAGACAAGTTCCTGCT